GTTGAAACTAACTCACTGGCACCTAATAACAACAATAACTATAGGCTAGGCATTGTTCTAGGTGCTGAATATCCCCACCATCTTAGAGTTTACAAATGAGCAGAAGGACACAGTTATAAAATAAATGAACAAATCCTCGAAATTACATATTAGGATTAAAGTTATAAATCAAGTAAATAAGGTGATAAATTGGAGAGTAGCTAGGTGTTGGCTTGGAAGTTGGGGAAGACCTTTAAGAAGGGGTTTGATCTGAGCTGAGAAAGGAATGAAAATGAGCCAAACAAGTAGAGAGCCTGAAGTGAAGTTCCAGACACAGAGGATCTCGATTTGTTTACAGCATCAAATGCTGTAAATGCTACTGAGCTAGGCCACCCAAGGTGCAACTGCTGGTCTTTCCATTTGGAACAAAGATAAGAATAAAGAAAACCGAAGACACATGGAAACTATTATTTCAAAGGACTCATGGGAGTACGTGAACACCAGCCTCATGACCCTGAGACCAGAAGCACAAGATGGTACCCTACTAGTACTACTGACCCCTTTCATTGGAATCACAATAGGAGGCCATGGATAGAGTGGAAGGAAACTGTGTGTGTGGGTGGGTGAGTGGGTAGGACTAGAAAAACAAACAAAATCCCCAGATTTACTGATCTGATCAAGGTTGGTAGAATTGCCAAGACTATGGCCCTTCGTCACCCTTTGACCTTTGAAGACACTCCAGGGGCTCAACTTTCAGCCAAATAATTTTGTTAAGTGCCGTCGAGTTGATTCCGACCCATAGAGACCCTGTATAGGGTTTCCAAGGAGTAGCTGGTGAACTTGAACTGCCGACCTTGCAGTTCAAACCGCTTTACAGTCTGGCGCATTAACCCACAGAGCCACACCAGGCTAGACCTATAAGGTGAACAATAATATCAGCAAAATATATATACTCCTTAGAACAATCAACTGTAGGAGACCAAAAGAGCAGCCTTTGCCTAGGAGTAAAGTGCGTAACATAGGAAAGGATATAAAAGAAGGACGAATGGAACCAGAAAACAGAAACGGGATGAGTGCTGTTACATTGTGGGGATTGCAATCAATGTCACAAAGCAAAATGTGTATGAATTGTTGAGTGGGAAACCGATTTGCCCCGTAAACTTTGACCCAAATCACAGTAAAAAGCAGCAGCTATTGGGCCAGATCTTAAGGAGAAGGGTAGGGTTTAACGAGAGGGGTAGAGAGAGTGCTTTTTAGAAGCCAAGATAACCAGACTTTGTCTCTTATACTTTGGACATACTATCAGGAAGGACCAGTTCCTGGAGAGGGACATCATATGTTTCGTTCTGTTGTGCCTTGGGTCACTATAGGTCAGATCTGACTCCATGGCACCTAACAACAACTGTTAAATCAGTACTCATTACATTAACTATGGCATTACATTTCATCTGTTATGCAATGTTTTGTTTTTTAATGGAATTGATAACTGCTTCATTTGATTTTCCTTTGATAGTGAGCACTGTTATCATAGTGGGTTACTTGTTGGACGGCTAACCACAATGTCAGCAGTTTGAGAGACTTTCTGTTCTTGCAAAGATTTAAAAGCCCCAGAAACACTATACAGGGTCGCTGAGTTGGAACTGACTCTTAGGCACTTAACAACAGTGCTTTGTTCTTTTATCTTTTATAGTAATTTTCATTGAGGATATTAACAACTTTTCTCTGCAGTCTTAAGTTTTCTTATGCTCCCTGCCTTGTCTCTCTCCTCTGAGTTTCTTTATAGTTTTGCTTAGAAACATACAACTCCTTGCTCATATTTAAGAAGGAAGCATTAAAAACTTAATGTAGTTGAGAGAGGCTTTACAATAGAGAGTCTTTAAGGGAAAGGGATCATGTAGTAAGTAGGCTATTACACTGGGACCCCCCTTAAGTGCTTGTATTTATAGGTCTTTTTTCTGGACACATTTTCTCCAGTCCTGTGTGAGGAAGGGGCATATGTGACCTTTTCAAGCCAGGTTTTAAAATAGCTAAACTGAGGAGTTCTGGTATGGCATTATAGGATAAGCATTAGACTACAATGTTGGTTTAAACCGCAAGGCCGGTGGTTCAAACTTACCAGCTGCTCCTCAGAAACCCTATAATGAGTCAGAACAGAAACCTTATACTGGGTCACTATGAGTCAGAACTGACTCGGCAGCACTTAACAACAAGCTGAGGAATGAGTTCATGACAAGTTCTTTTTTTTAATCTCTCCCATTTGTGTTCAATTAAGCTCCCTGGGCCTCTTGTTCCTGACTTTGAAGTAATTTTTCATTCATTTTGAGGGTGTAATTGAGACACTGTTTTTGTTGTTGAGTGCTGTCAAGTCCGACCTATAGTGACCCTGTATAGGGTTTCCAAGGAGCAGATGGTGAGCTTGAACCACCGACCTCGCAGTTCAAATGACTTTGCAGTCTGATGCCTTAACCCACAGCACCACACCAGGACTCCAATTGAGACATTGGACTCTATTTATTTTGGTTTTAAAAATTATTGTCCACTGTCTATAGACAACAGACAGGTGTAGGATTTCAAGTGTTTTCCAGGGTTCTAAGAAGGAGCCTGATTTGACACTGTAGGATAAGCAAGGTTGGTCGTTCAAGCCCACACCTTGGAAACTCTATACAGGATCTCTATGAGTTGTTATTGTTAAGTGCTGTGGAGTCAATTCCAACCCATAGCCACCCTGTATAGGGTTTCTGAGGAGCGACTGGTGAGCTTGAACCGCCAACCTTGAGGGTCAAACTGACTTTGTAGCCCATCGCATTAATCCACAGCCCACCAGGACTCCACAAGTTAGAACCAACTCAAAGGCACTCAACAACAAAGAAGGAACCCTGGTGGCAGTGTAGGGTAAGCAGTGGACTAATGAAGCTGCTCTTGGGAGTTGTTGTTGGTCGTGGTGGTGGGCGGGTAGGAGATGAGGCTTTCGCTTTCCATAAAGCCTGTTGTTACTAACTCTTAAGAGTAGGTGTTGGTATTGTTAAGTGGGTTCTAACTTACAGCTACCCTATATAATAGGTTTCCCAAGGAGTGGCTGGTGGGTTTGAACTGCCAACCTTGCAATTAACAGTCCAGTGTTTATCTGACAGTGCCATCACAGGACTCCTAAAAAGGTAGTGGTGATGCGCCACTGAAACTCTGACTCATAGTGACCCTATATAGGGTTTCCAAGGCAGTAAATCTTTACAGGAGCAGAAAACCTCATCTTTCTTCCATGGAGCTGCTGGTAGGTTCAAACTGCTGATCTAGTGGTTAGCAGCCCAATGCATAACACTATGCTACCAGGGCTCCTAACAGCCTGTTGTTAAATGTTGACTTGGTTCCGATCCATAGTGACCCAGTATAGGGTTTCTGAGAAGCAGCTGGTGAGCTTGAACTGCCAACCTGTGGTTCAAACTGACTTTGCAGTCCAGCGCATTAACCAGAGCCACACCAGGACTCCAACTAGGAAACCCTATATAGGGTCAACATGAGTCGGAATCAACTGGATGTCACTGGAAGGAGGGCGATAATTAAAGGAAACCTTTTATCTGCAAAGGTAAGAGGCAATCATCTGCTATATACAGTGGTGAGGGGGCTTCAGAGCTCTAATTACCCTGTTAGAAATTTAAAAACAGTATGTTTTTATCTCTACCATCACTCCCCACCTTTCTTAGAACCTTCAGAGCTATCTCCACGCTGATGTGTTTCCCCACTCAGAAGGCATTTACATTTTAGCTTCTTCTATTCTGCTAAGTCAGTTACCCTCTCCCACCTACTTTCCACACCCAAAACCAAACCCGCTCCCGTTGGGTTGACACCAACTCATAGTGACCCCATACAGCAGAAAAGTTATCTCACAGGGGTTACAAGACAGTACATTTTTATGAAAGCAGACTGCCACATGTTTTAGCTGGTGGGTTCCAACAACTGACTTTTCAGTTAGTAGCTGAGCACTTTAACCATTGTGTCACTAGGGATCTCTACCAACTTCCCATCTTCAAAGAATTGGTGATGCTCTAGTCCCTGGGTTTCTATCTGCTTTGAGCACTTTGCTCAGGAGGCAGGAAGATGCAAACCTAACTCGATGTGTGGGACTCCCTGGTTCAGGATCAGGAAAAACATGCACTCTGCATGTTACCAGATTCTATATGTATCGATTGCTTCCTATTATAAGACGGCAAAAGAAAGATTCAAAGCTCCAAGAAACCAAACATTAGCCAGAATAATTTTCCAACAAAGTTTTATTAATGTTTGCTAGAAATTACTTTACTGATTAAATCACCAGGAATTAATTTTCAGCACAAGATTTAACAACTTAATGGCCACCAAGGCCTGGGCTCTGAGGCTTTCTCTGTTTCTCCCATTCCTTAGTGGGATTTTGAAGGAGAAACATCATTAACAGAGACCAAGTCAGATGGTTATAGAGGCTCCTTTCCCAGTCATTGGACAAGCTGCTCAATTCTTGTCCAGAGCAGGAAAGAGCAGATTCTCCAGAAAATCTAATAAAGAATTTGACATTGCATAAGATCTCTCTCGAACAATTTAACTTTATCAAAAGTATTGGTCCAAAGTTATTTGCTTCTAATCTAAATTTTTTTCCCCACTTGCAATTGATTCTTTCTGTGCGCATATAATTTACTTTTAATAAATAATCTCACTCCCTGTGCAGAAATGAATCAATCTAGTGCACAGAAAAATCTCTCAAATCAAATAACCTCATCTTGCTCTTAGAAAAGAGGAAACCAACTCTTCTGCTCCTTTTCTACCCAAGAGATGAACAAAATCTCCCTCCAAAGTCCAAAATGTTACTTCTGGCCTTGGAATGAATAGACATGAAAGCTGGCTTTGATGAGGTGATTCAAATCATTTAGAAAGGGCAGCTGAAACCACTATGCAGGCAGACTTTGGAATTTGCTTTTTCTTAAAAGCATCTCTTGAGAATCGTCCTTGATTGTCTACAAAAGCTCTAAGGTCCAAACAACTTCTGCTATTCTGTCTCATAAGGTAGGCTCAGAGGAGGCGTTGAAAGTGTCAGGAGCAAGAGCAGTTGCAGTGGCCCCCTGAGGTAGAACTTCGATAACTCGAGGCTTGTCAATGATCCGGGCCGTCCGGTTTCCCTTTTCTACAATACCTACGATCCATGCTTGATGACCTTCTCCATACTTGGAAGATTTGATTTCGGAACAAAAACGGGCCGCCTGTTCTCTTGGCAGACAAATCAGAAGTCCTCCTGAGGTTTCAGCTGAAGTTCCTTGAAGGAGCCCAAATCTTCCACTGGCTTTGCTAATGGCAGCCATCTTAGCAATGATTGGCAGATTATGAATGACAAAGGACACCTCATTTCTTTGTTGTTTCGCAAGATTCTGAGAATGTCCTAGAATGCCAAAGCCTGTGATATCTGTGGCTGCGTGGGCATTAAATGTGTGCATTAGGCCAGCAGCAATTCTGTTGAGGGTAGCCATATTGAACATAGCTTCCTGATAGGCCATCTCTACCTCTTCTCTGGAGACTACCATCTTTATTTTATTCCATCTTTCAGGATTATCCAGCCATTGGTGAGCATTGACAGCAACTTGGGTTCCTAAAGGTTTGGTTAACACCAGCACATCTCCAACAACTGCGCTGTCAGGCATTATAAACTCATTCGGCTGACAAACCACGGTGGCCACTCCACCAATGATAATCCAAGGGTTGACCACCGTTTGCCCACCAGTCACTGCAGTGCCTCCTTCCTCAGCAGCATCTCGAAAGCCTTTGATCATGAGTGGTGTGATCTTCTCGCGTTCCTCCTCACTCATATTCTGGCTGACGCTGAGGAGCATCAACATGTTGTCACATTCAGTAATGCCCATGGCGTAAAGGTCACTCAGCACATTGGCACAAGCTATGCGCCCCATCATGTAGGGATCTTCCACCAGGGGGTAAAAAAAATCCGTGGTCTGCACCAGCGACAGACCTCCGTGCCTCAGTGGAATAACACAGGAGTCTATTCCAATGCCCAGGACTGGGAAGGGTGGACTGGGTTCCGTCCCAGAGGGCAGGCCGCCTTCCTGGATTGCCTCTTCATGGCCTCCGGTAGGGCCCGGGCCTAGCGCGGGGCGCACGTCGGGCCGCGTCAGTCCCGCCAGGAGTTTGAGCAGCGTCTCCTGCGGGACTTTGCAGCCTCAGCCCTTCATGCCGGAGAAGCCCGTCAGACGCCAGCTCGGGCTCAGACCCAACGCCTGGGGTTCGAAGGGTCGGTAGCTCGAGAAGCCGCGACCCAGACTCAAGCCCGCAGGGCCTGAGGTACCTTCCGCTACCGCCATCGCCGCCATCGTCTCTCCGCTGGCACCCGTGGCCGCGGCTTCCGCCATCACGTCTGCCCCACAGGGAAGGGAAGAGATAAAAGGTCTCTTATTTTCTGCTTAAGTTAATGTGAAGCAACAAGCAGTAATTACCCGCAGAGACTCTTACCTGTGCACGTCTCACCACGCTCTGCGGTCCTGGTTTTTCTGGGGGCGGAGCAGCCGGTCTCCCATATTTATATCCTTGTTGATTGACTGTCAAACCATCCAATGATCACTTCGACACCCGAGGCGGGCTTCCTTTAGCCTAAAAGGTACATTACAAATCAACTATCCGTTTGCAAAATTGGTGCATGCGAGATTGCAGAACATCACGTTCATTCCCTTTATAATTTAACTTCTCTCTTGGGAGTGGCTGTCAGAAGTCGGCTTTCCTAGTTGGTTTACCAAGTCCAGCATTCTCCCAGCCCAATAAGGATCCCTCACTTGGCAAAACTCAGGACGGGCAGAATTGTCCAAGGGTCACTTCACAGCACACATGATCAATCTAGGATAGGAAAACAGTCTATGGGGGAAAAAAATCGGAAAGAATAATAAGAAATTAGAAATTACGTTGCTGACAGGTTAGAAAATGGCAGTATCAAAATAATAAAACTCTAAAATGGACTCAAGAGGTTTAGGAGTCTAAGTTCAGACACCTGTATGGGTTCTGATGCCGTTTTGCCATTGTTGTCATGTTCTCTCAGGGCATCAGATGACTCATCTGCAAGACAGAGTAGCTTCCTTAGGTCTCTTTTATTGTAAAGTTTCTATATTTATTTAAATCAACATATATGAGAATCTGTGGTATATCCAGGAAGGGCATTTTAACAATATCAAAATTACAACTGCATATAATACATTTGACTTGTTGTCAAGTGGCCTCAGTAGGTTTGGACTCATAATGACCCTGTATAGAGCTTCCAGGAGCCAACTGGTCTGTTTGACTAATGATCCTGTGGTTAGCAGTCCAGTTTTTGTCCTATAAGGCCACATGTGACTTTAATAGACATAGTTTTTAAAATGAGGGTAAGTCAAAAGTATTGCTACAAAATCATAGAACCCTTTATTAAACAAAAATATCCTCCATCTAGATCTATACACTTCGGAAGGTAGTATTTACATCTCTCTCAAAGGCACTTAACAACAACAACCCTTTCTAGAACTCTGTGTTCTTCCATTTACACCATGTCAAAACAGCAGTTTGACATACTCAAAGGGCTCACATCACACTCCTTTTCAATGGTCTTCAAGTTTGAAGAACCAAAAGAGATCTAAAGGGGCAAGATGGAGACTGTAAGGTGAATAAGGTAAGGTTTCCCAATGAAATTAGAATAGGACAGTCTTTGCTACCCCTGAAAATGAGCAGGTGAGCAGGCGCAATGTCATGATAGAAAAAAAAATTCTTGTCTCAACTTTCTTGGCCTTTTCTCACCAATCCAGTTTTCAATTTTCTTAAAACTTTTAAATAATGTTCCTGTAATTGTCCTGTGTCCTTCAAGAAAATCTATCAAGATTTTGGAATCCCCCCTAAAAGCAGTCTCCATGCCTTTCTGAACTGATTTCTCTGCCTTGAATGTAACTGACCCATCAGATTCCCTTGGAAACCACTGGTTTTATTGGACTTAAAAAAAAATTTTTTTTTTTAAACACACTACCAGGTCAGTGGTTTAAGCTCACCAGCTGCTCCTTGGAAACCCTATACAGGGTCGCTATGGGTAGGAACCAACTCGACGGCACTTAACAACAACAATGAGACTAATGGGAGAAAGATGAGGCTTTTCTGCTCCTGAGACGATTTAAAGCTTAGGAAACCCTATACAACGTTGATATGAATCGCAACTAACTCAAAACCACTTAACAACAACAATGAGACTAGGACAAGTATATTGTCTGCAGCTATCCACTGATATTAGAAACATGTTTAAACACATTTTGTAGGGAGTAAACTCATGTTTGTATGAACTAGAACTCTAGTAGCAATATATATAATATATATATTTTACTTAATCCCATACTTTACTTAAGGAGCTCTGGTAGCATAGTGGTTACGAATCGGGCTGCCGACCTTAAGGTCAGCAGTTCGAAACTACCAGCTGTTCCACGGGAGAAAGATGAGGCTTTCTGTTCCCGTAAAGATTTATAGCCTCAGAAACCCTCTATAGGGTCGCTATGGGTCGTAACTGACTCGATGGCACTTAACAACAACAACAATAATACTTATTATAGTTCTGACTCATAGTGACCCTGTATAGGGTTTCTGAGGAATAGCTGATGAGCTTGAACCACCGACCTTGCAGTTCAAGTCTACCTTGCAGTCCAGTGCATTAACCTGTAGCACTACACAGGACTCCATTTTACGTATGTATGTATTTCTCTACATATATTTGTTGTTGTTATGTGCCGTGGAGTCGGTTACGAATCATAGCGACACTGTACAGGGTTTCCAAGTCTGTAAATCTTTACAGGAGCAGAAAGCCTCATCTTTCTCCCGTGGAGTGGCTGGTAGTTTTGAACTGCTGACCTTAAGGTTCGCAGCCCAATTTGTAACCACTACGCTACCAGGAGCTCCTTCTCTCTCTCTCTCTCTCTGTATATATATATACATATACATATGTTGTTGTTAAGTGCCATTGAGTTGATTCCGACCCACAGCGATCCTGTATAGGGTTTCCAAGGAGCCACTGGTGAGCTTGAACCACTGACCTTGCAGTTCAAACAACTTTGCAGTCTGATGCATTAGCCCACAGCGCCACACCAGGACTCCGCATATACATATAAAGTAATTTAATTCTTAGAAAAACTTTAAGTTAGGTTCTTTCTCCCATTTTACAGATAAGGAACATGAGACACAGAAAGTATAAATGACCTGGTTAATATCAGCTAATTTAGAGTGGAGCTGGGATATAAATACAGGAAATCTTCAGAGACCAAATTCTTACTCACCAAGTATTACTGCTAACGATGGTTATTAAGTGAAACAAGCAAGCTGCAGCACAAAATCTATAGAATGATAAATATTTTTTGTAAAATGAAGAAATATGTGCATGGCTTGTTTCTGGAAGGGTAAGGTTAACCACACTGTTACTGTGATTCAAACCCACCAGTCATTGCTCAGAGACCCTGCACAGGCTGTGAGTGACATTTAACAACAGGCACAACAAACCTTGCCTCTGGGGAGGGGATTGAGGTGATTGGATGACTGGAGATTTTTCCTTATATTACCATTTTGTTCCCTTAACATTTGGAGCTTTAAAAGCATATTTCAAAATATTTGAATGAGTTAGCTAATTAAAAAGTATAAATTGGTGCTTTTGGGAAAGAGGTTGGCTTTAACTAATGAAGTTGAACAAGTACAAACCAAATGACCCATCAATTCCACTCATAGGAAATGCCGTGTCGTTATTCACTCATATTCCAGAGGAATCGGACAGATAATCTCACGGTCAGCAGTTCGAAACTACCAGCTGTTCCGCGGGAGAAAGATGAGGCTTTTTGCTCCTGTAAAGATTTACAGCCTTGGAAACCCTGTACAGGGTCGCAATAACAACAACATATCTTTTCTCCACATCCTTTTTATAAGTATTCTATATTTTGACATTAAGAAAATAAAGTGTGATTTCAGAATAAAAAGAAAAAGTGATATAGTGAAAAAACAGAGATATGTATAGATAAGCCCTACTAGCACAGTTGATTAGGGCTATTAGCTTTAAGGTTGGTAGTTCAAATCTAGCAGTTGCTCCAGATGAGGTTTTTCTGCTCCCATAAAGATTTACAGCCTCAGAAACTCTATACAGGGTCACTATGAGTCAGAACAGACTCAACTGCAACACAACCACCACCATATATATTATATATATAAGCTAAGACCTAGGTTTGAGCTCTGAATCTGCTATCAGTGAATGGTGTGATCTTGAAGAAGTTATTTAATATCTCTGCACCTTAATTTTCACTTTTGTAAAAGGTTCACAGACTCTTCTTAGGATCTGATGTAAGAATCATATGGAAATCTTATGAATAAAAATATTTGCAAAATGTTCAGCACGTTTGTATATGTGAAGGATCCTCATACACTAAGAGAGAAAACAAAAACCTTCCATTAAGTGTGTAATCACCTTGCCTGAGTTAAAAAGTGACTCGATGAGATGTCCCTGGTCTTTTAGTCCTTTGGACTTTTCCCTCTTAGTACTTAGTACAATTTGTAATTCTTTAATCATGTTACAGGACTTTCTGTCTGCTCGCCAATCCCTAAGCGCCATAGAGCAGGGCTGCTCTGTTTTTGCTATGCTTTTTACCCTAGCACTTTGAATGGTACTAACTGCTTGGCCAACGAGCTCTGGTAGCGTGGTGGTGGTGCGCCCTGGAGTCGGTTCCGACTCACAGTGAGTCCCTGTACAGGGTTTCCGAGGCTGTAAATCTTTACGGGAACAGAAAGCCTCATCTGGCTCTCGCGGAGCGGCTGACAGTTTCGAACTGCTGACCTAAAAGTTCGCAGACCGATTTGTAACCACTACGCTACCAGAGCTCCTGATGGATACATATCCGGCTGTTATCTCAAAGTCAGCAGTTTGAAACTACCAGCAGTTCCATGGGAGAAAGATGAGGCCTTTCTGCTCCGGTAAAGATTTACAGCCTTGGAAACCCTGTGCAGGGTCTTTATGGGTTGGAACCGACTCGATGGCACTTAACAACAACAACTGCTTGGCCAGGCATGAACCCAGTTTACTCAGAGCAATGAATTCATGTGCGCTTCTGCTGCTGGTGGTGCATCCCCAGCGACTGCAGCGGGAGCTCCGCCCAAAGCGTCCGTTCTCTTGTTTTTCACTGAGCATGTGAGTCAGAGATTTCAAAGGCACAAAACTGAGTGTATGGCTAGGGAAGAAAGAGAGGTGAGATTTTAAAGAAAAAGAAGATGGATCCAAGAACCAGCCCTTCATTTGTTTTCCACACACAGCAAAAACATTGGGGCTAGATATGTTTGCTTTTTCCTTTATGCTAATAATTTAGTCTTATGACAATACACATTTAAA